AGAGGAGATCCAGTTGCTCCCCCCTGTCTTGGGACAGAGAAGTGGCATTAAAACTAACAGAGGAAGGGCCTGTTTTGGGATCTACACATCGCAGTGATCTCGTCTCCCTGAAATGCCTTCCCAAAGCACAGACTGCTGCAAAGACCAATCCTGCCTAGGTGTGACAAGACGCAAAACTTTACAGATCACCAGAATATGAAAATGAGACCCTTAACAAGGCTCCACACTGCCCTGCATGCACGCACACATGCAAAGAAATCCACCGGGAGGGTCCTTACCTGCTCAGAGCAGCAGGCTTCCAAGGAACCCTATTGGGCCACAGCTCCTCTTTGCCCTGATTCTCCTGGATAAGAGGGCATCAATCAAGACAGCACAACTGAGTATTTGAAACAGAAACACGGTTAGCCTTTCCACTCAAGGGGAGCATCTCACGTCTCCCCCACATCAAGCCTTTACAGCAAGGCCAGAAAGTCACTTGTAGCCGTGAGGTAAACGACTAGCCACTGGTACCCACACTGATCCATCATCATCATTACCATGGGGGTCACCTAACGAGGGTACCATGAAGAAGCAGAACCTCAGGCAGCCAAGGGGCTCCAGCAGCTGCCTCGGGAGGCCTGAGGTGGCCCCAGCCACTAAAGGGTCAGCCCCCCACCCCACCCCACCCCCGGGATCGGAGTCTGTCGGACACCCTGAAGGCGCGAAAACGACACCAAGCGTCAGAAAACGTAGTTCAGCCCCAGGAGAGGAGATCTCCCACGGGAAAAGCTGGTATGTCCGCTATGTGTAGTAGGCCTGCGACCAGGAGCGAACAAGCGGTGCCGGGTCGGCCCACCTCTACCCCTCCTTTCTGGACCCTGGAGCGGTCAATCGGGAGGGGCGTGGCCACTGGCCAGGACACGCCCCATGATTACCTATATTTGCATACACGCCCAGTACGAGTGGGTGTAGGTGCCAAAGTCATCATGACCACCATCCCAACCTTCCCTCCTCCCTCTTCCACGCTCAGGCCGACCTGCTACGCCGCCGCCGCCGCCGCCAGGGGCCCGGGCCAGGCCAGCCCTGCCCTTGCTCCACTACCTAGGCAACAGCACTGCGGCTGCTTATTGGCCGGCGCACACCTTTCTCAGCAACTCGGTCGGCCATTGGCCCGCGGGTTTTCTCCATAGCAACGAAACGCGCCATTGGCTGGCCGCGTCCCTTCCATGGCGACGAGGCTGTTTGGTTGCCACGGGGAACGGAAGAAGGCGGGGTCGACGGTGCTGCTGAAATTCCATCCTGTACCTTGTTGTGGCACGTGACACAGCCGGAAGGGGGACGGAGTCTCTGAGCAGGGGAGAGGCTGACGTGGTCCGTTTCGTATTTTAAAGGCCGAATCCCAATCTGCGTCTGATCCGTCAAAAATTAAACGCCGGGAGCTCAGCCTTTGGCCGTTGTGCGCGCCTTTCTTACACAACACCCCCTTCACGTGTTTACAAGTAATGTGTGGATGCATGGTCCCTGAAAACTGTAGGCTTCAGTTCTGCATGTTAATCTCTTTTCTGTGTCGACATGTTAAGATTACTCTCGATAAAAGCTTTAACCGGATCGTGACCGGGTAAAACTACAGGGACATCTGCTTCCTAAGCAGCGTTCTCCAGACTGTATTTCGGATCAAACAAAGGAGGTAGCTTACTCTTAAATTTTCCGAACGTGCACGCTTACTTTTTGAGTGCTCCCTTTTATTAGTTTATTTCTGGGTATAAATTTTGTTCAGTGGAGCAGTTTGGCAAGAGTGGGGGATTAGCTCAAATGGTAGAGCGCTCGCTTAGCATGCGAGAGGTAGCGGGATCGATGCCCGCATCCTCCAACAAGGACTTTTTCAAAGAGGCAGTCATTTTGGCCATGAATGAGCGGAAAGAACACCATCAGCTTTGCAGCAATATGCTCTTGTAGGATTCACCGAGATAAACGCGTCTTGCTTCCTAGGAGGAAAGATTCAGGTGTGTGCACACAAAACGTCTACCCAGAATTAAAGTTTGCATGCATGCACAGGAAAGCCAAAAAGACTGCCTCTTTGAGAGACCTCGTGTTCCTGTTGCCCTTCTCGCTTGCTCTGTCTGAAAAGGCGAGCTCATACAGACATGATAAAGTGCGTCAGTTTTCTGCGTTAAAAAGGAGAGACCAAGCAAACCTTGCCCGTCCGGTTTGGTAAGGCGACCGTTCTATATTTAATAAAAACTGGCGGCTCATTTTTATTTTTGGAAGGTGGTTCAAAATCTAAGTCGTTGGAGGATGCGGGCATCGATCCCGCTACCTCTCGCATGCTAAGCGAGCGCTCTACCATTTGAGCTAATCCCCCGTGCTATTAACTGGTTTCACTGAACTGAATCAAAACTTCTCTCCAGCAGGGGGCAAACAGGGCGAAAACAACAGCGAGCTCTTCTGCATGAGCACATCAAAACATGTGAAGCGTTCCAGTGCGTCTCCTTCTCTCCGCTAGGAATGCTGCAGCCCATTTAAGTCAGCCTTGGGCGAGGCTCAGCGAAGGATTTGCCGACCTGATTGTGTTGGAGCATCGCGCGCTTCGCTGGCCACTTACGCCTTTACTCCGCATTTAGGGAAGAGCTTTCCTGCCCTTTTTATAGAGGAATGATGAGAATATTCGTTGGACTTCCCACCTCGGCCACTCACAGGTTGGGGCTCAAACTTGCCTGAAGAATACCTTCAGTTAAGCTCTACTCCCCGCAGAGATAGGCAGTGAAGGAAACACATACAGCCCCTGTTCAGATGCTTGGTGCTCATTCGCTCAAAATTTCAGGGAGTGGCACAAAATCTATTATACTAAGTAATCTCATCGGTTCAATGCTGTCTAAAACCTCCAGTTGACTGCTTTAGAAAGTGTGTACTGGGAATAGTCATTATGGAAGACCATCACCAGTTGAACTTGATACCCAGATGCTTTTCTTTTGCTGTCAAGTCGCAGCCAACTTATGGTTTACCTGTAGTGTTTCAAAGTGAGAGAACCATTGCCTGCCTGCACCTGGAGTCCCTGGTATTTCTTGGTGGCCTCCCATTCAAATATTGACCAGGGCCATCTGCTTAGTATCCCATATCTGATACGATTGTATCAGCCACGGCTATTCAAGGCAAGGTGAACCAATGCTACAAGTCAATTTTAGGGACAGAAGAGGTGACTGGAATCTTCTCAGGGTTTCTGAAACAGACTGCAAGGCCCCATTCTCAGGGTTGTAGGCAAATAAATGCATCCCAAACCTGCATGGTGCTGAGCTAGCTCTTCGTACAAGGGTGTACAGGCCTCAGTCCTGCCCTCCTCCCCCGCCTTATCCTTTCTTTCCTATGGATTCTTCCTCAATCTACTGACAAGCACCATAGGCAGGAGGACCTAGTCAAAAGCATAGGGTGTTGTGCTTAAGAGACCTGGACTAGAGCAGGGGTGGCCAAACTTGCTTAATATAACAGCCACATAGAATAAACGTCAGGTAGGAACATAAGAGAAGCCAATGTTGGATCAGGCCAATGGCCCATCCAGTCCAATACACTGTCACATAGTGGCCAAAATACCAGGTGCCATCAGGAGGTCCACCAGTGCCAGGACACGAGAAGATGTTTGAGAGCCACAAAACATGAATAAATATTACACACATTTTTACTGAAAAAATATGCAAATTTGCTTTTATTAATGTTAAATTGATAACTTTAAATGGGGAGGAAGAGAAAGGTGGAAAGAAAGTGGAAAGCAAGCAAATAGATGGGCGAGGGAGAGGTGGAAAGAAAGCAACTTTAAATGTGTCCTCCAAGCAGTGTTCCCTCTAAGCTTTGGAATCTTGTGAGCAAAAATTCTATTTTGTGAGCTACTGGCATTAAAAGTTGTGAGCGAGCAATTTGGCTACTGCATAAATTAGTTTGCTCTGGAGCCATCCTTCCTGAGCTAAGACAAAAATGTGTGAGCCAGAGGCTAAGAAACCATGAGCTAGCTCACACTAACTCAGCTTAGAGGGAACACTGCCTCCAAGCCCCCCCTGCCGGCTAGCTTGGCTTGGCGAAGTGATTTAAACAGACAAATGCCTTCTCCAAGCCAACTGGCGGGGTGTGGTGTGTGCTTTGAGAATGCATTTAAAGTTCAAGTTGCCTTCTTTCTCTGTGCCGGCAGGGGAAGGAAAGACCAATTGGGGAGGCATGGCCCTTTCCTTCCCAAGCCACTCTAGTGGGAGCTGCACAATATGTGCGAAAGAGCCTCATGTGGCTCCCAAGCCACAGTTTAGCCACCTCTGGACTAGTCTAGGACAAACCACCATAATCCACTGAGCATGGGACCCACTGAGCTGCAAACCCCCAACATGCTCACTTGAAATCATCCATGTGACAGGCAGGGGAGTTATAACCACATGGATGTCAAGGCCAGAACCTCGGGCAGTACACCGAAGAAGTGCAGAGACCAGGAAACACAAGCCAAGCCCAGGGGGAACGTTGCTGAGCCCCTGTAGAACTTTAAAATCAAAATTCTACCATTTGGAAGGAACTGCAGCATAGAGGGAGGGTGCCATGGTTCCTGCTTTTCTGCATGCACACCGAGATCAAGAGGATGGCAACATCACCTGACTTGGATGGATAGGGCTCCTTCTGTGCTCTGACCCCATGGCTTGTTCCCCACTATGGTTGAAAGTATTTTCCCAGCCAACCCGGTAGCAGCTACCTTAGACCCATTTGGTAGGGGAAGAGTGTATTTTAAATACTGCCCCTATGTCCTCGAGAGCCAGTTTGGTGTAATGGTTAGGTGTACACTCTACCTGGGAGAACCAGGTTTGGTCCCCCACATGCAGCTGCTGGTGTGACCTTGGATGTTACAATTTTTTTCAGAGCTGTTCTTTGAAGAGCAGTTCTTGAAAGAGCCCTCTCGGCCCCAACTACCTCACAGGGTATTTGTTGTGGGGAGGGGAAGGGAAGGGAAAGGACATTGTAAGCCACTAGGAGACTCTTTTGGGTACTGAAGGGTGGGGTATAAATCCAATCTCTTCTTTTACAACCAAGTCAGGTCAGAATGCACAACAAATCTCTCCCCTTGGCAGTGAGTTAATGCAAAAAACCCCCAGAACAGCACCATGCCTGCACATTTTTTGTCATCCAGTTTTATTACTGTTTATTTTATGTTCCACTACATTGTTTTGCAGTCTTGCAGTTCCTGCTTTTACAGTATTGTAATGTGTTTCTGTGTAACGTTCTCTGATTCTGATAGTTGTGTCTTATACTGTTCTTACTGCATTTTGGGGGGTTGTAATCCACCTTGAGTCTTGGCAAGAAAGGTGGACTGAATAAATTTCATGCACACAGAATGAGAAATAGAGGAAGAGCATCAACCCAACCTCTGAAAGGACAGTGAAGAAGGGACAGAGGATTTAGGGCCAGTTTTAAGAAAGAAAGGGTGGTGGCTCCAGTACGGAAAGATGATGGGGGTAAAAAGGGGATGTGGTGCAGCCCAAGAGGCCGGCTGATGCAAGGGGCAGAGACAGACAACATGAAAGCAAGGATTGTAACCAAAGAGATTTTCCTTTATTGCACATGACAGGAGTGTCACATAACTGTCATGACTTAGTCCCATTACCTTTGGAATTCCAAATGAGTCAAGGAGCACAGCCCATGATCAGCGGCCAGGCCCACAAGGGCAGACAATGTGCTTCGCACAAGTCCTGCTCTAACACCCATCCACCTGAGTCTGGCCGGGCAAGCAGCACCTGATGTGCACTGAAACGCAGGCCCAGCCTGTTAGCAGACAATCCTGACATGACACTATGGAGGAATGTGCCACACAATTTAAGAGACGCTTCCTCCAAACTGTTATTTCCCCAAGCAAATCCATCATGACTTGGTCCCTACACATTAATTTCAAGGAGGGGACAGGAATACCCAGCGGTATCCACGCCAGAGTGTGGAGGCAGCCACAAGGCCATGCCCACACGGACTAATCCGCCTGGGACCGACCACGGCAGCATTCCACCTTCCCTCCAGGAGGGCAACGTTTAATTTAGAGGCAGACGGAGAATTTAAAAGTGGACTGAGAAAATGCGATTAAAAACAGGATTCCCCACCCACATCCATCATTTGTGAGAATTGTTCCATTTCCCTAAGTGCTTGTGGAGGACGGGAGAGTTGCCCCTACAGGACTCACAAGCTTCTCTCCAACACTATGAAGGGGAGCAACCGCCTTCTCCCTTCCCTACGGAATTTGCATTGCTCTCATTCCTACTCACATGGCTGAAGAATTACCCATCCTCAGCCGCCAGGCCCCTCTTTCCTGGGTACACAAGAAGTCAAAGGCAGCTCTTGGAGGGAGAAGAAGAAAAGGCTCAAAATCCTTGCTTCTACCGCATGGGGGTTGCTGGCCAGTTGAAGCAGGCAGGCTGGAGTCCGGGATGCTGTGCGTGAAGCCCTTCTTCCCAGGTGACAAGGAGATGGGGGGGAGACTAGCAAGAGAGCATCACAAGCAAGCACCGGACCTTGGGAATGACTCTTCAGGAGTAGAGGGATGGGGGCAGGGGGGTTCAAGGAATGGGAGGCTCCATGCATAAAATGGCAGGGAAGATCACTGTCCCCCCCCCCGTGACCCATTTCCCTGGGATAACGGCACTGAACAGTTTACTCAGGTAGGAGAGAGGCAAGGCTTTTTGACCTGCACCCCAGCCTCAAGCAGCACGAAGGACAATCGGTTGGGGGTGGGCATTGCTGCCTCAAAAGCTGTTGCCGACACCACGACCCTGTAGCCAACAGCTAAGCGACAGGACCGACCAACGAGAAGGGGGCAGCTAAGGCCTGAGCAGAGAACGGGGAGAACTGGCCTGCCAGCACAGCGGGTTCGGAGCCCGGAAGGCCCAGGCGGAGCAGGGCTTCACAGCAGGGGATCGCCCCCGCCCCTGAGGAACAGCGCCAAGGACAAGCAGTTGGCACACTCCGCTGTCAGTCACCAGCAGTAACCCAAACCTCCCGCCCAACTCCTGGATCTCAGTGGCCGGAGATGATGGCCAAGGCCCAGTTCTTGATGGCCACGGTTGTGTCCTGGAGGTACATCCAAGAGGAATGGGTGAGGCTCGCCAGCTGTCTTCTCAAGCAGTCCCAGGACCCTTCGCCACTAGGAGGAGGAAAACAGAGCTGTATCAGAGACTGAAGCTGCATGCTCTGGCCATGTGTCGTACAAAGAATCGCAGCCAGGCTCACTGCTGGTCTTCCCACTTGATTTATTTATTTATCTCACATTAGATTTATATCCCACCCTCCCCACACTGTAGGCTCAGGGTGGGTACCAACATATATACCTGCAATCAATGCAGATTTACAAATTAAAACACATTATAATAATTCATTAAAATCAATAAGATCATCAACATTAAATTAATAAAATCATCAGCATTTAAACACGATGCCTCAACAGCTGATAGTGTGGTTCCAATCTGGCTTTTGGGATCTGAAGTCACCCGGGGGTGGGGGAGATAAAAGTGGATGCCTGCCGGGTCAACCAACGTCCTGGCAGAAAAGCTCTGTCTTGCAGGCCCTGCGGAACTGTTAATAGGTCCCACAGGGCCCTGATCTCGGCAGCAGCGGGTTGGGGAGAAGAGGAGATTGGATTTACACCCCACCCTTCACTCAGAGTCTCAGAGCGGCTTACAAACTCCTTTCCCTTCCCCACAACAGACACCCTGTGAGGTAGGTGGGGCTGAGAGAGCTCTTTCAAGAACAGCTCTTATCAGAACTACGGCTTGCCCAAGGTCATCCAGCAGCTGCAAGTGGAGGAGTGGGGAATCAAACCTGGTCTCCCAGATTTGAGTCCGTGCACTTAATCATTACACCAAACTGGCTCTCCTGGTAGCTCATTCCACCAGGCAGGGGCCCATCCTGCCATCCCTCAAGTTCTCTACCCATGCAGGCTGGGATGGAGTGTGAAGAAATTAAAGGAGGGCTGCCCTGATGGCTCCTCTCCCTGCTCCCCCCTGGCTCAGGACAGTGACAAAGATGCATAAGCTGGAAAGAGCCAAGAGCTGTCCTTTTGCACAAGCAGCTGCCTTACGCAGCCACACATTCCAACTCTGATCCATCCAAAGCTGAAGGAGAGGCTGAAAGTCCCCAACACTGCCTCCCCCTAACACCAAGAAGCCCACGGTATTAAAAGGGTTTGGTATCCAAGCCCTGGTTGAGCACCTTCAGCAGAGCAATCTGTCAAACCTTCTAGATTACAACAGGTCTTAATTCTGGGTCTTGTGCTTCTCTACACAGAATAATCTTCGATAATCTCACTGTGCCGCAGCGATTACTGAGCACTGATACCCTCACAAACTGGTTTGTTTGCACCCTACATGTACAAACGGGGAACGCATTCGTGATAGCCAAAGAAGCTAACAAAGCAGGGCCCTGTGTCTGTAGTCCATTTGGCTGAAGAGCTTGGAACAGCATGAGCAGTGTCTGCTGCAAATCTGCCGCTGCTTATTTTATGTAATTTATCCTTTGGAATGACGCACGGGGAACAGAAGCACTCCCCACCTTCAACAACTACTGGCCAGCTTGGCTTATGAAATCCTAGGCAGGAATTTTAAAAGCTGTGATTCCTAGGAGTGTACGTTCTTCAAGAACATCCAAGTTTTGCATCCACATGGGCAAGAACAGTGCACAGCTATATTCGCAATTAATGCTCTACGTGGTAGATCACCTCCCCAGTTCATCTCTTAGTCTGACCTTCTTTTTTGAGAGGTCCCTCCCCTTTCTGGTCTGCCTTAGGCTCTCCTACACAGAGTCATTGTGGGGGAGAGTCATAACTTTCCTGCCAAATTCATGCTGAAAATTCTCACCTGCAAGAAGCCACCCAGAGGTCCCAGCCCTGCTCCAGCGTCCCAGCAACGTAGTCCACGGCTGGCAGAAGGTAGTTCTGCATGAGGAAGAGCAGCAGCTCCTTGAGGTGCTCGGCCAGGTACAACACAGAATCCGGAAGGTGCGTCTGGAGCTGCAGGCCAAAGAAGTGAGGTGTTAAGCTCAGCCACTTGCACTGCAGACGGTTTGCAACACAGCCCACATCTTTCGCATACAGCTTACAGCCTGTACAGCGTCCCGTGCGCCTTGGTGTTTCGTCATGCCGGCCACATGACCACGGAAACGTCTTCGGACAGCGCTGGCTCTTCGGCTTTGAAACGGAGATGAGCACCGCCAGGGCTCTTTTTGTAGAAAAAGCCCAGCAGGAACTCATTAGCATAATAGGCCACACCCAACAGCAGACACTCATTAGCATATTAGGCCACAACCCTGACAGCACAGCTCATTAGCACATTAGGCTGCACCCCCATGTTACCAGAAGTGTGGTCAATCCAGCCACACCCACCTTTTGCTTCTTATTCTGTTTACCTTGTTTGTTGTCAAAACCCAGGGCTTTTTTTGTAGAAGGAACTCCTTTGCATGTTAGGCCACACACCCCTAATGTAACCAATCCTAATGAGTTTCTGCTGTTGGGTGTGGCCTATTATGCTAATGAGTTCCTGCTGGGCGTGGCCAGCTCGGGAGCCAGCCGGAACTCCGTTCCTGTGCATTCCTGCCCAAAAATAGCCCTGGAGACATTCCTGCCCAAAAATAGCCCTGAGCACCACAACCCTAGAGTCGGATTCGACTGGCTTTCGATCAAGGGAAACCTTTACCTTTACAGACTGGAGTTATTAATTCTGATCCCTTTCTTGAGGAGTTGGGGCTGCTAAGAGCAGATGTGAATTTAATGTGTGGCTCTACATCCCTTTAAAGAACTCGCCACAGGAATACAGATCACACATAACTGTCTGGAAGAAAGGAAAATTAAGCAGGGGAAAGGGGAAAAGAGATACAGAACTTGAAGCTATGATAGCAACACTCCTGATCTGGAGAATGAAAAGTCCCGCCCTGAATAGCAGAAGGGGCAATCCAAGAGTAGCAGGTGTATCGATGGACTTTCCTCCCCTTTCATCAGATACACTGAGCCTCTGGCTGTTGCTGGTTCTCCTCTCCATCCACACCTTTCAACACTCCTGAGAGCTTTTCCTGTCCCAGCTGCTATTTTTTGTTACAGTGAGTAGAAAATAGTCAATGGCAACCGTGATATATTTATGAAGGGAATCTCACTTTTATAGATTTTCAAAAAAATAGTTCAATACTAATACATGTCAGCTATGCTGCCATGAGGGTTGGGGAGTTCATTCTGTGTTTTGTTAATTGTTATTGCATTCCTATCCCTGCTGCTCTGCTTTTTGCTGAAACGCTTATCTATACAGATATGCTGGAGGAGGTTGTGTTGTCTGGAGGACTCCTATGTACCGTGAGAGCCTCCTGGTTCTCAGCTTTAGCTCCCTAACGGTTGCCTGACTTATCCCGTGCACAGGAGGGTCCCTAATTGGCCGAAGCCATGGGGGGGTATATATAAAAATACCCTACATCCTATTATGCTCCAGTGGCTGTAGCCATTCCTAACAGTGCCTATGTTACTGCATCTATAGCTTTGCAATAAAAGTATAACTATTCCTGAATGCATGTACTTCGTTGTTAGCTGTGGGTTCTGACATTTCTGTACATTCATACAAAAATAAACGTCAAAAAATGATTCCACAATGTTGACAAGCACAGTCCAATAATCTAAAGTTCATATAAACAGTAAATTTTCTCTCTGTCTTTCTTGTACTAATATTGGATTGTAGACAAATAGCATAAAGGTCATGAATCTGCAGACAGGCTTGCTCCCACACCTGTTTCGTAAGGCTTCTTCAGAGCAGAATATGTGCAGACTCAAGTGCATCCTTTCCTACTCAGCATTCATCTCTGCATGCTGCCTCTCTGCATAATGCTCACACTCAGTGAAGTCTTCTCTTAGCCACTTTTTTCTCTGTTTTCTCTGTTTCCTGTAGTGATTCCACACCGTGACCCCTGCCCCGGGCTACCTTCCTCCTCCCTACCTCTATTTGGCAAGCTGGGCAGGCAAAAGGAGGAAACGCCACCCTTACCCATTCAATGAGCCTGGGCAGGTTGTCTCCGAGCCAGGCTAGCTGAGTAGAGCACTTCCCAGAGATGTACACGGCGGTCTCATTAGTCTTGGCCCAGACTAGCTCCAGGTTTGGTCCCAGCACGGTCACCATGTGCGAATAGTAGAGAGGCACGTTTGCTTCTAGCCAGCTGGAAGGGAAGAGGTCTTTGTTTAGACATTGACACCCCGCTTCTCCTCCCAGTGGGGTCCCCAAAGCAACTCCCAGTGGGGTCCCCATCTCCATTCCTTCCTAATCACCACTCTGAGAGGGAGGTGAGGCTGAGAGGCAGCAGTGTCCCCCCCCACACACACACACACCAGTGAACGTCCATCGCCAAGTGGGGATCTGAACCTGAGTCTTCCAGATCCTCATGCGGCACAAAGAGAAAGACATTTCCTCCCAGGGATAAGGGTGCCCGACAAATTACAACTCAGGCCTTAGCAGCAGAGGAGGTTTGTAAAAGAAGCTGCAATGGATTAGCTGGACTGTGCATCGAGAATGCCTTGACTGGAAATATGACACTTTGAACAATGAACTTTACACCCACAGCGATGTATCTGATCTACTAGCAATCCTTGTTATGAATAAATTGTAGATCATTACAATTATATATCCCTTTTCCCCTTGTTTTCCTGTATCCCTATTTTAATTTATTAATAATACTAATTATCATTATTATTTTAAAAGGCTATTTTAAAAAAACAATGTATTTGATCTACTAGCAATCTTGAATGAAATATATGGGAGTCACTGCAATATCCTCCAACATGCATGACCACCCCAGTCCCCAGTATGATATGAAGTATGGCTAGCTCAAGTCTTGTAGAATGCTTAAATCTTAGCAGATGTCTCTACTCAGAAGCAGGAGAGAGAGACAGAAAATAATCTAGCAAATGTAGCTGTATGGATCTAAGTTTATATCCTTTCGCCAGATATTCATATTAGAGATCTGTGACTTTTTTGCTTTTTGTCTGACCTAAAGTTGTAAGTTTCTATTCTTGCCAGTCCAGTAAATCAGTAGAAAGCACTGTCGGGAAATTATCTTTGCTGTGACCATTTGCTGTTGAGCTGCTCACAAAGAAAAGAGGCAGAATGAGTTATGAAACTACACCTCTTTTCACATTTTTCATAGTGGGGGGGGGGAGAAGAAGGTACAAGGGAAGCCAGCACTAAGCCCAATTAGAATCACAGAATCATAAGAGTTGGAAGGGACCTCCAGGATCGATTGAGCTGACCCTGCCAACATCACCTGGAGTCTATCAGCTCCACCCAAAGATCACATGCAGCCAACTTGGTCAGTCTCTGGATTGAAAAGGTAGTGCACAGAAACTTGCACAATGGCAGCAGTAAACCAAATGAATCCGTGCCTGAGCCTATTTTGTTCTCCTTCTTGAGCTATCCATCGTTCAGAGTTTAGGCTCTAGGCAACACACCAGGAGCCTCACCCATGCTAAGTGCTGAGCTGCTATGAGCGCCTTGCCCCCACCTGCCCTTAAGGGAAGGTGCTTCTATTGTTCTTCTCCGCTGACGCAGATCCACAGTAAGTCACTGACCTGTATCCTTTGAAAGAGTAATGGGAAACTTTGTTCCAGGCTTGCTGAGAAGCAGACAGGATGCCAGAATTGCGGAGGACATGAGCAGAGGCAGAAGCTGGCAGGGGGGGGAAAACACACAGACAGGCTTCCTTTAGTGGAAGTGGGGTCAAGAGTGGGCTGCGCAGGCCAAGTCTATCTACCCTTAAGGGAAACAGTTTGCTTCTCCTTAAAAGGGAGTTAAGAAATCCCCCTTCCCACACAGATCCCCTTTCCTCCCAGGCAGGACCAACCTTCGAAGGAGCCATGAGTTCTGACATCATGCATCAAAAACCCTGTGGTAAACACCAGGATAACCAGCAGCAGCCGAAACCAGGGGAACCCACTGCCTTTCATCTTGAGCAGCAAGTTCTAAAGAGGACAGAAGCCAAGAGGAATCAAACCAGTTTAGCGGGGTGGGGGAGTCACGAGGCTCATTAAGGACCTGCTGGAACCTCCCAAGCCCACCTTCTCCTTTCCAAGCAAGGGAATTTACCTTACAGGTGGATCTGCAAGCGGCTACATCCTGAACACTGTTCGGCCCTTTCAAGGCCAGCTCCTCGTTTGTGACTTTAAAGGAATGGACGGTTTCCTGCAAAGACTTTCGCATCTGGAGGAGAAGAGCATCACAAACAGTACTGTGAAGCAGCAGGAGGAGGAGGAAGCAGCGGCTGCAGACTGAGTTGAGAGGGTTGCCAGCCCTTCAGGAGCAGGACGGTCCGAGCACTGAAATGCCAGCCAGCCACTTGCCTCCGGGGGAGGGGGGGAGAGGCCCAGCTCCCTGCTTCAAAGGGCTGGCCCTCCTCCTCTCCCAGGCAACCTAATGTTCCCAACGTGGAAACAGAGCCAGCCTCTTGAATCACAACCACAAAGCAGATGGGCCAGCTACTTTCTTTGCTCTGAACTGGCGTGCAAGCCACGAAATAACTGCAGTTAGCATCTCTCTCAGCCTTCTAATCCATCTTACCCATGAGGCTCCAGACAGGTAATAAAAGGAGAGAGAGAAGAAGATATTGGATTTATACCCTGCCCTTCACTCGGTCTCAGAGTGGCTTACACTCTCCTTCCCTTCCTCTCCCCACAAGACACTCTGTGAGGTAGGTGGGGCTCAGAGAGCGCTGAGAGAACTATGGCTTGCCCAAGGTCATCCAGCATCCGCATATGTGGAGGAGTGGAAAATCAAACCCGGTTCTCCCAGATTACAGTCCGCCCTTCTAACCACTACACCAAACTGGCTCTACACTACACTAAACTTTGCAAACAATCGCTAGTGGGAAAAGATAAGTATGACTGGCTGGCATAACTAAACACCAGTGATGTTATAAATACTTAGAATCTTACTGAAATATGCTCTTAAAAGCCATCCCTCCTGCAGCTGCTGACTAACCTATGCCAACTCCACCTAGGTAGGAACCCCAAACAGATATGGGACTGGGCATTCTCTTGGCAGGGCCCTTTCTCTGCCAGGTTTGCCCTTGCATGCAGAGTAGAAATGACCAAGGATCGCAAACCTTTTTGGAGGTGCTGTCCCAGGACTCGCAAAGGTGATTCAGGAGCAGGCTGGGGAGGGAAAGGAAAAACAAAGATACTAGCCACAGAGAGCCATCGTCTCCTAAAGAATCAGGGCTGTTCATAACGTAACTGCTGCTGTGGCACAAAAGCTCTGCAGTCGGAGTAGAGACAACACGGCTCTGTGCACAAGCTAACATGTCACTTCACAGTTCTGCTCTTTCTTCTGCTCTCTTATGCCATCTTGCAGATGGGATACACAGAAGGGGGACTGAACTCCAGGGCCTGAACAGAGATAAGTTATTGGGAGGAGGCAGAGGAGAGGACAGGGCAGTGCAAACACCTGGGGCCTTCCAGCGCTGCAGGCTCTTTAGGCACAGAGTCCATTCACTTTTTAAAATACTTTCTGGACTTGCGGGAGGGAACCTCCACTTGTCTTTGCTGTGCCTGCCAAAAACCCAGTAGGGATTTAGAAATGACTGGCTAGGAAGTGGAAGAAGCTGAACACACACATACATGAAATTGCCTTCGATTAGCTCTGTACATACAATACATTTGAGGATGGGGTCAGTGATTGTAGAACGGGCAGATGCTGGCGCTACCCACGATCGAGGGTGCTGGCTCTCCTTTACACATGGGCACATCATCTACACTTGCTTTGGGGGGGGGGGGAAATCTATACTCTCTGTATGCAAAGTGGCAGTCCTGCTACAGGGCCACAGTTCCTCCCTGTAAATTCTTCAGCCCAGGCCCTCCCAGTTTATCATCTTTAGATACCGTGAGGGCTAGGAACATTTTGCTTTTCACGCACAAGTCAAAGTTGCAATCCAGCCAGCATAATTCAGATAGGATGAATTTGCATCATGGAAGCAATACAACGGCACTCGCCTATTCGCACCTGGACTGTGAGAGGTGTTTGATGTACAACTGTCTCCAGACGCTGAAGCTGAGAGGATCCAACTTGAGGCAGTCGGTCAGGCAGTTCAGCAGCTGCACAGGGGCGAGAGAAGAATGATCCTTGGAGGTTTCACAATCAGAAAGAAAATTCTGCAACAGGATCACTGATATAAAGTCGTGAGGCTACACTGGTTTTGAGAGCTGGATGATGACCTTTATGAAATTCCAGGTCCCCCAAACACAGCTGTGGGCAGGGAGAGTATTGCTTTTCCTCAGCTCCTGAGGTTCCCATCTTCCCTCTAGGACACAAGGGAGAAGATGTGGGTGGGTGAGCCTACACCTATGGAATACCGTCTCATATGTGTGTTATGCGCTGTCAAGATGCTTCTGACTTATGGGCAACCCTACGTATTAATGTCTTCTAAAATGTACTATCATTAACAGCCTTGCTCAGGCCTTGAAGGCCGTGGCTTCCTTGACTGAACTAACCCACCACGTTAGGTCTTCCTCTTTTCCTGCTGCCTTCAACTTTCCCTCGCATTATTGTCTTTTCCAGTAAATCTGGTCTTCTCACAATGTCTCTGGGTGACATTAGTTCACATCTGGACCTCACTGTTGTTCTCAGGGGATCAGGAAGGGATCTGAGTGAGGGACTACCTCAGGGGGCCAGGAAACCCTTGGGAGCTGGGCTTCTGGAGAACAAGACCCTCACTCGGCAGTGCACCAGCCAAGAGCAGCGGCAAGCATCATCTCTGAAGGTTCCGTTCCTCACACTCCCTCCAATATGAGAGGGAGCGGCTCCTCTAGGAGGATGTCCGCCACGTGTGGCTTTTTAAGTACCGAAAAATATACCTTAATGAGGGTAGTGCACTTTTAATCCCATTAATTGGTAGATTAGCCTAGCTCATTAACTGCCTAAATACCGCAGCCCTAGGAACCCAATGGGTGAGGAAGAAGCGCAACCTGACCCTCTCTTCAACCCGTCCAGGCCTCACCTCCTTTTTCATGTCATCCGGGCAGTTGAGAGTGGTCCTGGAGAGGAAGGAAGGGAAGTACGTGTGCAGGGTGGTCTCCGGCTTTGCCCCAAAGGCCAGCACTTTCAGGCGGGGATACGACTGCCGTAGCTGCTCCTGCAGGCTGGGGGGGGGGGGGGGGGGGGGAGATATCACATCAGCACATCGTGCTCGGGAATGAGAAGGATCTCACCTTGTACCGGGGAGGCCATGTAGCAGGACAATTTTTGACTATTGGAGCTTTCCCATAAGAGTACCCAGCAGCACAGAGATGGCACCCTAGCCCTTCATCCACAGCCTGCCACCAGAACATCTTCCCTCCAGCCTGAAGAGCCTTCACCATCAAGAATCAAGACGGGTAACTGTGTTAGCCTGTCTGGTACCTGAAGAAGTGAGCTGTGGCTCACGAAAGCTCCTACCCTGCCACAAATTTTCTTAGTCTTGAAGGCGCTGCTGGATTCTTGGCTCTTTTCTTCTACCATCGAGAACGCCATTCTTCCCCTGGCCAAAGACAACTAGCTGTGCAACTGCCACTGGCCCCACCACTCTACTCCCTGGGGAAGGGCCAGGCCCCACTTTCCCACCCAGCAGATCAGACCTGTCAGTAGGCCTGGGGCGAAGGGAAGGGCAGCTTTGCTCTTAGCACAACCGCACACCACAGGACCAACAGCTCCCTGCTTCTCCAGTTTGATGGATAGTTTTACCGGTTTTAGTGTGTTAAGATTTATGCCTGGTTGTTTAAAGTGCTTTTAAAAAATCTGTTAAGATACAATTGCTGTAGTTAGAATTTTATTTACTTATTTAGGCCAGTTTGGTGTAGTGGTTAGGTGCGCGGACTCTAATTGGGGAGAACTGGGTTTGGTTCCCCACTCCTCCACTTGCACCTGCTGGATGACCTTGGGCAAGCCATAGTTCTGGCACAGCTTTCCCCAGCCCCACCTACCTCACAGGGTGTCTGTTGTGGGGAGGGGGAAGGGAAAGGAGTTTGTAAGCCACTCTGAGACACCTCTGGGTAGTGAAGGGTGGGATATAAATCCAATCTCTTCTTCTCTTCTTCTTCTTCACTTCATCCCCTACCATTCTCTCCAATGGGGACAGCAAAGTAGCTTATGTTGTTCTCCCCTCCTCCATTTTATCCTCACAACAACCTTAGAAGGTAGGTTAGGCTGAGTGTGTGTGACTGGCCACAGACACCCAGCCAAGCATCCATGACAGGGTGGGAATCCGAACCCAGGTCTCCCAGATCCTAGTCAAACACTCTAGCCAGTACTACATAGCACTACTACCTTAAGAACCAAGTTGGCAGAATATTTTTAAAAATGATTAGTCAAAAGAAACAGCAGCTCTGAAGGCTGAGGATGATTCCGTCCCCGGGTTCTATTTTACCATAGGCTTGAACATGTTAATATTAGCAGTACCTGGTCCTCTACCCAGAGCCTCAGCAGCATGGTGCCATACAAAGAAGATAAATATTACATATTTCTGATGAACTAATATAATAGATACAAGGACCCATAACCATCACACTGTGAATGGAAAGCGACCTGCGTGCTATTTCAGACTTCTTTTGTGATGCTGGAGGATTATTAATTTTGCTCTGAAGGCTACAATGAATGGGAGCAGAACAGCCTGGATTTGACTGTCACCGGGAAGGCATTTTACATCATCTGACCTTTTGCAGGTATAATATGGATATTGTTCATTACTGATAGCTATGTGCCAACAGCCACACTATTTTGATTATAACCAATTTTGCTAAGTAGACTAAGTCAGATAAAAGCCTGCATGTTTGGCTGCTGTTTCTGCTCCATGGAGCCTTCTCTCAAAAATAGGCCACGCCTGGCTGGAAGTGGGCCATACCAGGACCACACCTTTCACTCTGCAACCTCCCTCTGCTATCCGAGATAACCTGAGATCCCTCCCATCTGCATAAGTACTGCAGAACAATGGGTGTGGGGGGGGACATTTCCCACATGCACTGCTATACCTGGGTGGTAAGGAGTTGTTGGGCATGAAGGCAAAGTCCAAGATAGGGAAGAAGTCTTTGGGTCCAATCATGCCAAAGCCTTTTGTCAAGTTGGGGTGCATCCTGCAAGAAAGCAAGCAGTGTCTATCAGTGGGAATAGCCTCAATACTAAATACAAAGACCATAGATGCTCTCTTGGTCATTTCCAGTGCCTGGACCCCAGAAACTATCCATCCGTCTCACTTACTACCTTGCAGTGCCACCCTTCAGTCTCATCCCAGCTGTTTTTTGCTACTGATTATGCTAAGAGCTTCATTCACCATCACCACAGGGCCCGTGGTACAGGCAGATGCCCCCAACAAACCAAGAACCCAGTGCTCATGGGCACAGGGAGTGGGTAGGACGTACAGCAGGATATGGAGCATTCAGCTTTGTTCTGAACACCTATGAGGGGGCCCCAGGATCCCTCTCTCTTGCATCCTGCTTGTCATGGGCAAAGGAAAAAATTGACTAAATGTCCACTGATGCTCCCTTACGACGGCTCTCTAAAAGAAGGAGATACAATCCACGTAATACTTTTATAAGGATTAATCCAATAACAGTGTGCACGCTACTGAGTTCTCTAGAACTCTTCATGACCTGGCATGATGAAGAATTATGGGGAACTCAAGGCTTGTGTGCTGTTTAGGACCAACCCAATGACATGTGTTATACGGACTGTTGTTTTTGGCTGTTACTTTCGGACAAACACAGCTGCAAACTTGTCTCTAAAAGAAGTTCCCAACTCTCAGCACTATAAACGTACTAATACTCCCCCAAGTCTTCACACTGGATAAATAAAACAGAGCTTCATTTATTGGAAATGCACAACCCTGTGATATTTTGTCGTCAAAGGGAGGCGTGCTGCCTGTGGAGTCTCAGTAGCAACGGGGCAGTACAGGGAACTGTGCCAAGCTAACAGAACCCACCCCATGATGGCTCCCAGCAAGATGTGGCCTGATGGGCACACACACCCCCAGCAACAAAGGCACAAAAAAACTCACATCAACAGCCGATCCAAGTAGGCGATGGCGTACGGGGAGAGCGATTTGATACCAAGAACGGGAAGCATAATGCTGAGCCACACTGCAGAGGAAAAAGATGGTACCACAGCATTTGGTTAGAGATCTACATGCTCTTGGACAGTGTAGAGGCAGGGGGTGCCATGTACCCAGGGGCCAATGCAAAGACGTCTACAACAACTTGGGACAACTCTGCACGGGCTGGGACAGTGGCTCAAGAGGGAACCCAAATCTGATACTGGCAAATGGACGGAGAATGAGCTGGTAAACAAATATCAAACTGTTGATCTTAAATGTTTCCATAGGCAAGGTTTTGGGGATGGCTACGGGTGGTTATGGCAATGAGTGAGCGTCCATGAACACAGCTTGCTTTCCTCTCTCGCTCGCTATTTTTCTTCACTCTGCACCAACACATTACAGCAACATTCTACGCTTGTGGATTCAGAAGTTCCATTATGGTAAACAGAGCTCACTCAAAGGTAAATGTGCATTATATAAATTGTTGTTAATTGATCCAGTACTCCTCCTTCTCCTGCTGCCACTCCCTACCCTTTGCTCAGGCTCCCTTCTCAGTTCCTCTCCACAACAGTGCTCTGCTGCCCTTGCGGCGGATTCTCGCACCTCCTTATTTTAAGGGGGGGATAACTGCAAAGGCTATCTGCTTCTTTGACCTATGGTACTGAATGCTTCCTGCAGTCACTGTTAGACTGGAGCAGTGTTCCCTCTAAGCTGAGTTAGTGTGAGCTAGCTCACAGTTTTTTAGCCTCCAGCTCACAGATTTTTGTCTTAGCTCAGGAAGGACGGCTCCAGATCAAACTAATTTATGCAGGAGCCAAATCGCTGGCTCACAGCTTTAATGCCAGTTGCTCACAAAGTAGAATTTTTGCACACAAGACTCCACAGCTTAGAGGGAACATTGGACTGGAGGGTGGTGTTACATCTTGCACAAGTGGAAATAGTGGCTGGATACATCAAGACTGCACCAAATGAAGCTGCCTGCTATCGAATCAGACTCTCGGTCCATCCAGTTCAGTACTGTCTACTCAGACTGGCAGGGTCTCAGGTGAAGGTCTTCCACATCGCCTACTGCCAGATTCTTTAACTAGAGACGCTGGAGATTGAACGTGGGACCTCCTGCACACAAGGAGGTTCTTTCCTACTGACTCACGGACCCTGCCCTGAGCATGACCCTCTTCCACAGCAGAAAACCCCCCTCAACATCTCTGTTAAGTGCAAAAGAACTTACACTCATGGAACAGCAGTACACACATCACGGTTTTTGGTCAGGCCTTGGGGCTCTCAGCACAATGCCCGCCTTTACTCTTCATACTGAGCTAGCCTCTCTGCCTCCTTGCATTGCAAAGGAAGGAACAGACCATCCCATGTGACTGGAGCTCCACTGCCTTTTATTTGCCTCCCACATTATAGGGCAACCAACTTCAGCATATTTATTTATTTATTTTTTATTTTTGAGATTTATATCCTGCCCCATCCCGTATTCAGCTCGGGGCGGCTTACAAAGTTAAAATGTCAATACAAAACAACACATAATAAAAATATATCTAATATAAAATTTGGTGCTCAATTAATTTATATACAAATCAAGATGGACGGCGTCCCGCACTTGCGGCCAAGTTCTTCACTGCAAGAGGACCAGGAAGAATATTTCTCAGGACTATTGGGCGACATCTACCTCATTCATGGGGTAGGTGGTTGGAATCATTGATGGAACAGTGGCGGCGGCGGCTCCCCCTCAAAGGCCTGGCGGAAGAGCTCCGTCTTACAGGCCCTGCGGAACTGCACTAAGTCCCGCAGGGCCCGAGTCTCTTCCGGGAGCTCATTCCACCAGGTGGGAGCCGCCACCGAAAAAGCCCTAGTCCTGGTTTGGGTCAGCTTCGTTTCTCAGGGGCCTGGTACCTCCAGGCGATGGAGATTCCCCGATCTCAGTGCTCTTGGGGGAATATACGGGGAGAGGCGGTCCCGTCACTATCAGAGTGACGATTATGAGAACAGCGACCTAATGCTGTGGTGTAGGCTAGCAGAATGGTCGAGCACAAACGTTTAAGTAAAAGTTACACAGTCCTATGAAGTGCACAGGATAGATTTGGACAGGGGCAACCAGAGGTCATTTCGGGGGGGGGGGACGCAGTTCCCCCGGGTGAGGTACCGGGGGGCGGGACACATGACGAAGCCCCGCCCCCTGCTTCCGGCCGCCCCGCTTCCGGCCCTCATTCAGCCAGGAGGAGGCAGGAGAAGAGGGAGGGTAAGTTGCTTCCTCCCTGCCTCTCCCCACCCCTGCCTGCCTGGGGCCAGGGAGGGCCTTCGCGGGGCTTCCTTGCACTCCCGCCGGCCTTGCAGGTCCACCGCCGGGCCCCTCATAGGACTCGGCAGTGGAGCTGCAAGGCCAGTGGTGGCGGCCGGGACTGTTGGGGGCGGGGTGTGTGGCCTTATGACACACTTCCGGTGATGTCAGGGGGTGTGGCATATGCTAATGAGTTATGCTTATGAGTTCCCCTAGCTCTTTTTCTACGAAATGACCCCTGGGGGCAACAGTCCTGCTCTACTCACCTTTAAGTCCCTCTGTAAGATCTGTAAATCCAGCTTGCCCCAAGGCCCACATGATGGTGAGACATTTGGCCGGTCGGTT